GCCTTGGCCGTACTAGCAGAACTAGAATCCGTCTACATGATATTCCGTGTTCCTTACATGCTCATACATGACGGCTTGACGTACCAAGGAAGACGGCCAGAACGGTGGGGGGGGGGGAGCAGAACCACGCCCACCTTTGCCTGAAACTCCTCCTCGATTTGGCCACTGGACATACTGTCCCGCCTCAAAGCTGAGCCAGCCACCTACTGGCTGGGTGACCCGGGTGGGCCACCTGTCTGTGTCTGGTTCCCTCGTCCGTAAAACAGAGTTGATGACAATGACCGACCTCACGGGGTTGCCGCAGGGATAAATGAATTTATATGGTGCCCAGGAAGAAGCGTCGCTAACTCCTATTTACGCTGGTTATTCGCAATCCTCCCATCCCGAGGGAAATGCATGCTCCCTGTAGGCGTGGCTTGACTGACGGGCCAATTTCCAGGTTTGCTCCAGCAGGGAATGCATGAGCCTAACAGGGGCGATGGACCCGGAGTGGGCCCTCTGACGGCAGGGCCTCTGGGGCAGCCAGCAGTCGTGGGACCCACCTGCCTGTTCCCACGGCTGCCTGGTGGACCCACCTGAGCCCAGGCAAAGGCATCAGCAGGACGGGGTCCCCTGACTTGGTACAAACCACTGGTCATCCAGAGTCGAGATCCAGTTCCCAAGGTAGCAGCTACGAGGAACCCAAGGCCAAGGCGGTCCCAAAGCTGATCCTGGTCTAACAGTCCCTCGATTTGGGCCACCTGATGTAGGAGCTTATTAGGGGTGAACTGTGTTCCCCCAAAATCCAGGACCTCAGAAGATGACTGAATTTGGAGAGAGGGTCTTTAAAGAGATGACCAAGGGCAAATGAGGTGATATGGGTGGGCCCTAAACCCATCAGACTGGTGTCCTTTTAAGAAGAGGAGATGAGGACACAGACACACACAGAGGGACAACGACATGAGGACATGGTGGACACTGTCCGTAAGCCAAGGAGAGGGGATGGGGGATATGGCGCAGTGGTAAAGCGCATGCTTGGCGCGCACAAGGTCCGAGGGGGAATAAAAACTTAAAAAAATAGCCAAGGAGAGACCCCAGCCCTGCTGAGTTCTAAGAAAACAAAGCGTTAAGTTGAAGGACAACATGTGTCAGGTAAGAGGGTGACCTAGATGGTGACTTTGTTTTTTGTTTATTTCTCCCCCTCAGTTCAGTTGCATTTATTTATTTTTTTATTGAAGTACAGTTGATTTACAATGTTGTGTTAGTTTCAGGTGTACAGCAAAGTGATTCAGTTATACACATACATATTCCTTTCCAGATTCTTTTCCATTATAGCTTATGACAAGATACTGAATACAGCTTTCATTATAATAAATAAACCTAGTTACCGCCCCCATCAAAAATAAAAAATAATAATGAATATAATTCCCTGTGCTCTACAGTAGGTCCTTGCTGTTTATTTATCTTATGTATACTAGTTGTATCTGGTAACCCCAAACTCCTAATTTATCCCTCCCCTCAGTCCCTTCCCCCTTTGGTAACCACGTTTGTTTTCTGTCTGTGAGTCTGTTTCTGGTCTGTAAATAAGTTCATCTGTGTCGTTTTTTTTTAGATTCCACATATAAGTGATATCATATGGTAACTGTCTTTCTCTGTCTAACGTGATCATCTCCAGGTTGGAAGGTGACTTTGAACCAGAAGATACACCAGAGCCACCGGTCTGGTACACAGCAGACACTCAATAAACGTTGGGCTGTCTCACCATTTTCATTCTTCCTGGCCGTCTCAGGATGGCCTCAGACATGTCTCTCGGGAGGCAGGCCGGGTTCATGCCCACAGGGGCTGTGAGGGCCTCGCCCAGCGCCACCCCAGGAAAAGCCCGAGAAATGCCACCCTCCTTCTTCCCCTGCAGCCCCAGTCAGTTCGTACAATCAGTCAAACCTGGGAAATGATGGACAGAATAACCTGCAAAGCTGACGGATGCTTCAGAGCCACACGACTCAGAGCCAGGGACCCTCCCAGCCCCGCCAACCCCCCTTCCAGGTCAGGACATCGGACATCAACCTCTGATGGCCTCTAGATCCAAAGCTCCAGACGCTCCTAAGCCTGGCCTCGGGGAAACTCACAGGGCCTCTCGACAAACGTCAGCCTGCTGTGCCCTCTCTGCTCAGCTCATGTCACCTCCAGGTCCAGGTCCCGTGTTATCCCCTCCACAAAGCACGTTGAAGGGAAAAGGAATCCAGGGCTGGGAAGACCAGGCCACCCGGAATGACACACCCTCACACAGAACCATGACTGTGACCCGACTGTCACCACATAACCAGGAAGGTGTGGCCACATGCTCAGGGGGCTGGCGCTGTCCTCTAGACCAGGAGCAGCTGACAGCCAGGTCCCCAAGAGCAGAGACCCTGTCCTTTCTGAGCGTGGACCCCACACAGAGCAGCCTCGGAGGAGTGACCAGACCAGAGGCCAGCTGTGACAGCGCTGGACCACCACACATGCCCATGGGCAGGGGTCTGACCCTGGGGACCGCCACGCCCCGGGGAGCGCTCTCCACCCCGACCATCCGCACTTGCCTGCCTCCAAACTGCAAGGTGGAGGCCAGGCCTGGAGGAAACACAAATACTTGCCAAACAAATACAGTCCATCCTCACTGATCGTGGACTCTGTATCTGCCAATTCGCCAACTCACTAAAATGACCTGGAACCCCCAAATCAGTCCTCCTGACATGTACAGGGCATTCACAGACACATGCAGCAGAACAGCAGAAAATTAGGGTTCCCAGTGGCCACTGAGGGCCACGTTTTGCACATTTGTGCTTTTTGTGAGTGAAGCCACTGTTTAAACGGCCCCAGGCGCGGTGAGGTGCTGTCTAGGGTTCCCACATGCGGGAACGCTGCGAGCGAGAGGCCTCGTGGGGAAAACGCTTGTCCGACACGCTTCATTCAGGCACGAGTCACAGTGCTGGTGGCCTGGAGTTCCACGTTAAGGAGCCAGCAATATACACTTAATAAGGTGTCTTTGAACAGAAGCACACATAAAACACGGTGACACAGAGACCAGAAACCTTGCTCTGCGTTTCCCCCGAGCAGCGTTCCAGCATTTGCTAATTCGGGGTCTGTGGCGACTTCAGGGCGGAAGGCGTTGAGGAAGGAGGCATCCGAATCCAGCAGCCCACTCTGGCCGCCTTGTCAGAGGGCTCCCTCCACTTTCTCGTCTTGAGACAGAGCAAACTGCATCGCCCTGGCCTGCGCCCAAGAACCCAAGTTGATTCCGACCCTGCGTAGGTACTGACATCTACCGCAGCTCTGTCACCCGACAGCTTCACCCAGCAAGCCCTGGCCTCCGCACACCCACACCCGAAACACCGGGACACGGACCCCAAAACGCCCGCCCCCACCACCTTTCTCACCACCAGTTGCTTTCGCTCCCGGCTCAGCCCCAGCTTCTCCTCCTCACACGCTGACGAGTCTCCTATTGGGAGCAGCTCGCCTCGCCCCAAGTATCACAGCCGAAGATGCCCCCGTGACAATCAGCCACGGAATTCTCATGTGAGAAGCCACTTTTCATTTCTGAACGTCCTCTCCCCCTTCTCAGTCCATGAGCAAGATCTCCTCCCGCGACAAGTGGAGAAAGTGTCACTGCAGGGGGAAGAGCAACCTGCAACGACCCACCCACCCGCCTGCCTCACGCTGAGCAACACACCACGAGGAGAGCGACAAGTGCTATTTAAAACCAAGTGACAGCAGCCTTTGCATCTGTTTGATGACACATCCTCCGTACCTGTCAAACAAGCAGAGCGAGACCTTTCAGAGGAGGGGATGACGGCACCTCCTTTCCAGCCAGCACCCCCGACAGCAAGTCCGTGAGGTTCTGGGTTTCCACCCGACACCCACATTCCGCGGCGACGCCGTCTCTCCTCCCCCAGGAACAAGAATGGTCACGCTACCAGCTCAGTGAACGTCCCGAGGTGGCAGAGAGTGGCGGATACGTCAGAAAAAACTGCTGTTTGTCTTGCGACTGAGAAAGTGTAACAGAATGAAATCACAGAGCAGAAAGAAGTTCATCTAAAAGGGTTTGTCGGTCTGTAAGCTGTGGGCACTTTGCAAACACAAGCTTCACACAGTCTTTGTCGAAGAAAAAGAGAGGGACCAATCCTCCTGCGCCCTTTTCCTCCAAAACCAAGAACAGTCTTCCAGAAGAACCACGGAGTGTGCACAGTCAAGGTGAAATATGATCCCCTGTGTGTTTATGGTCTATCCCATCACTCTCTCTTCTAAGAAAGTAATAATCATGGTAATAATACACTAACTACTATGCATAAAGCAGACAAACAGCAAGGCCCCCCAGGGAACACAGGGAACCACATTCAACACCTCGTAACAGCCTATAATAAAAAAGACTATGAAAAGGAACATTTATATCTATGTGTAACTGGATCACTGCGCTGCACACCAGGATTTAACACAACATTGTAAACTGGCAATAGTTCAATTAAAAAAAATTTTTAAATAGTAATAGGGTTTTAAGACATTTACAGCGTCCAGAGGACGATGGGTTGAATATTGTCCCCCCAAAATTCACATCCACCCAGAACCTGTGAATATGATCTTACTTTTTTAACTAATTATGTTTTTTTCTCTTTTTTGTTTTTTAGGGGGAGAGGTAGAGAGGTAATTAGGTGTATTTATTTATTTATTTGCTTGTTTATTTTAACAGAGGTACTGAGGATTGCACCCAGTTGCACCAGCTAAGCACACGCTCCACCACTGAGCTACAACCACCCCCCAATTCACTCTTGTAAAGTATGCAATTCAGTGGTTTTCAGTATCCTCACAAAGCTGTGCCATCATCACCTTAATTCATTGAAGAACATTTCCTTTGGGGAGGAGACCAGAGAGAGGGTTACCAGATTTATTTAGATTTATTTGTTATTTCTTTTTAAATGGAGGTACTGGGGATTGAACCCAGGACCTCGTGTGTGCTAAGCACGTGCTCTATCACTGAGCTATCCCCTCCCCACTCCCGACTTTATTTGGAGATTGGGCCTCTGCAGATGTAACCAAGTTAAGAAGGGGTCATACAGGACTCGGGTGGCCCTACCGGTGTCCTTATAGGAGAAAGGCAATTTGGAAACAGACACACATAGAGGGAAGAAGAGACAACAGAGGCAGAGGCTGGAGTGCTGTGTCTACAAGCCAAAGACACCACGACACCACATCCACAGGGACTAGGAAAAGGCAAGGAAGGGTCCCCCCACCTCCAGCCCCCCACTCCCAGGTGTGAGGGCAGAGACAGGATCCCAGCTGAACTCCAGACACACTATAAACTAGAAAGTGAACACCCCAGTTCTAGCCACCGGTCCTGAGCGTGGCTGAGGTCACCCCGGAATCAGACAAAGTGCTGAAAAATTCAGGCCTTGGACCACAGTCACAAGTGCCCCCTTGGATGCCCCCTAGGACACAGCGAGCAGCTCGCTCCGGGCTGAGACCCAGCACGAGCCTCGTCTCTTGTCCCTGGACGCTCTACAAGCACACAGCTTATTTTTAGCAGCCGTTTCTGCTCTGCAGTCACTTCATTCGTTTCAGAGCCAAATAACCCCATTATAGGTGCCTTGACTGGCTTGTAAAATTATCCTTCACCCTAACAAATACTGTGACACTGCCATGCGCTGCAGCCTGCCTGGCACATTACATTTTTCAAAAAATTATTGGCTTAGCTAACGATCACAAATCCCCTAATTTAATTTGCTCCTAAATGTGTTTAATTTCCCCACAAGTGGAACTACAGGCTTACAAGCCGAGCATTTTGGCCAGGTTGAGACAAGCAGCAAAAAAAATGAGAGAGGCCACCAGCATCAGGGGCCGTCCAACAAGAACTCCGCCGCCTGCTCCCACCCAGCTGCCTGCTTGAGCATCTGACGGAGTCACCCTCACCCACACGCTGATGCCGTCCCATCACCTGCTTAGGAAAACTGGCGACAGCAGAGAGAGGCAGAGTGAATCGCCTGGCCAGATTTAGCAGGGAGGGAACCGTGCGGGCAGAGCTGGGAGCCGGGCACCAGCATCAGGGTCAGCTCCCTTCGCCACCTGTCCTGCCTCGAATCAAAACTCAGCCAGAGGAAACCCACGTGCAGCCCAGGCGCAGCCTCACCCTCTCCTGACTTCCAAAGTGACAGTGGTCCCAGCGAGGGATGTGACACAGGTGGGTGGCGGGGCTGCCTGGTGGGGCTAGGCTGAGCTGTGGGTGCCCAGCAGGGCTCCAGGCATGTGAAGTTCAAAGTCAGGCAAAGCCTGAAAACGTAGATGAGCGTGTGCGTAGGTGGTAACCACACAAGAAAAGGCACAGATGTTAAGGGCACGTTCAAGGGGGCGGTGGGTCCCCTCTGCTGGGAGAAGAGCCCCAAGGGGGAGGGGTGCAGGCAGTGTCACCCAGGCCCAGACGCAGGACCACGGGAGTTTATTCATTATTCTTTACACTGTTCATACTCTTCTGTAAGTGCAATATATTCCACAATATTTTTTCACTTTTTAAACATAAAATTTTCCATTTTCACCATCTTTAAGTGTACGGCTCAGTGGCATGAAGTCCATCCGCACTGTTGTGCAACCATCACCACCATCCATCCATCCACAGAACTCTGCATCTTCCCAAACTGAAACTGTCCCCATTAAACACTGGCTCCCCACGCCCCCTCCCCCAGCCCCCAGCCCTCACCATCCTACGTTCTGTCTTTAGAATCTCACTATTCTCGTCACCTCACCTGAGTGGAATCACACAGTATCTGTCTTTTTGTGTCTGACTTATTTTATGCAGTGTGATGTCCTCCGGATTCATCCCTGGTGGAGCGTGCATCAGAATTTCCCTCGTTTTTCAAGGCTGAATCGTATTCCCTTGTATGAATAAAGCACATTTCACTTGTCCATTCCTCTGCCCATGGACACATGGGTTATCTTCACTTTGGGGCCACTGCTAGCAAAGCTGTGTCGCGACATACTTTTTAACTCCCGGGTTCCCAAGAAGGAGGGAGCTTGGGACAAGACACACAGTAAGTACCTCCTGGGCACCAGGCCCTCCATCCTCTCATGGGGAAGATAACGGTGACTGTTTATCCACACTGACCACATTATGTTCTGATACTCGTTTCAGGGGACCCCTGTAAAAGGTGCAGGGAGCAGTAACAGATACTTTAAATGGCCATTGCTCTAAGAACATTCTAGAAAGTAGAACATGTCATACAAACGTGGGGGTCTTTTTAATTGTTGGTTTAAACCAGGGATTGGCAAAGTGTAGCCAGGGGGCCAAACCTAGCCCACCACCCCCTTCTGTGGAGAAGGTTTAACTGGCGCACACCCACACCTACATGCTTGTGTATCCTCTCTGGTGGTTTTCACGCCACAAGGGCAGAGTGGGGTCATTTCTATAGGAACCAGATTGCTCACAGAGTCTACAGGATCTGTTCTTTGGACCTTTCCAGAAAAAACTGCCGACTTTTCAATGATTAACAGAGATCATAACACAATCTCTTAGTATTTTTAAGGCGTGGATTTAGGACCGGGGTGACAGCAGGAACGGGAACTCCTCCAGCACTCTCAGAGTCGGCTGAGGGAGCAGGCTGGAGTCGGAGATCTCTCCTGGGTCTACCAGCGACAACTGAGCAGGTCCGGCGCCAACTGCCTGTCCCCATTCTCACCACCTCTCGGGTAAAGGAGCTTTCATGGAACACCCGCAGTTTAACCTGACTTCTCCCTGCAACCAGCAGATTTTACTCACAACCTCACTGGCTGGAGAACCTGACCACCGGCAAGTCAGAGGCCCGCCGAGACGGCATCAGTGTCCAAGAGCTGCTGCAACAGGCGAGCACAGCCTGGGGGGCTCAACGCAACAGACGTTCACTCACTCCCAGTCTGGGGGCTGGAAGTCTGAGATCGAGGTGCAGGCAGGGCCGCACCCCCTGGAGGCCCCGGGGAGGGCCCTTCCTGCCTCTTCCTAGTGGCTGGAGGCGGCCAACAGCCCTTGGCTGGGGGCTGCACCCCTCCTGTCCCTGCTCTGTGCTCACATGGCCTCCTCCCCACATGGACCTGTGTCTCTCTGCCCCTCCTCTTCTAAGGGCCCTGGTCATGCTGGATTAGGGCCCATCCGACTCCAAGATGACATCTTCATGTACGTCTCATTCACTTCTGCAGAGATCCTATTTCCTGAAATGGGCACATTCACAGTCCCCAGGGATCAGGACTTGAACACTTCTTTCGGGGGCGCACAACTCAAGCCCTAACAGAGAAGCCATATGTTAACATAAGCCAAGTGCTCCTAGTCTGAGCATCGTTTATTTAAAGTGCAGTGCGGACCATCCACACGGCTCCTCCCATCCAAAGGGCAAGTGGGTAGCTGCCTCTCTCCCCTTCCCGCTGTGGCGAAGCTCGCCCCCATCACCTGCCCACATGCTCACTGACACACGGCACCACTGACCTGGCACATGTCAAGGTTGGGCCGACACGGCTTCCTCAGTGGCCAAACGCCCAGGGGCAGAGTCACAGGCTATGTGCAGCTACAGCTTAGCCAGCAGAACATTCTCCACTCTGTTATTAGTCCCACCAGTGCCTA